CCTAAATATTACCACAGACACTGTATATAGAAAATTGTTAACTCGTGCACAATTAATTGACATTTGATTTTCAGATAATCATTTATACTTAATTATTTGTTAGTTTGTTAGAAAACAGTACTTGTTCAACGAACACATAGAAGTATTAAATATAATTTGAACAACAATAATGAGAAATGTTGAACACTTGTAAGTTTAAATTTCACAATTATATTTTATTTTACATCACAGAAAATATTTTCTACCGCATGTTCTACGTGGAAGAAACCGAAAAAACAAGCCCCTCTTCGAATAATGCTGCTACCAACCTTAATTCAACGATACTATCTAACTGCTGTTGAAAATGGGGACAGGAATATATTTTGCAAGTGGTATCACCTTATCTTCTCTACAGCGTGACCTCTTATCACATAAAACTAGATGGTGCACTCCTGCATTAACTGATAACTCGAACCCAACTCAATGCAGTAGGATCACATATCACTATATCAGAAACAAATTATCGTACAACTAATTTACTATAATTATTTTACCAAATAATACAACAATGGTAAAGCTTTTGGTGCGAGTGATCATAATCAGTAATTATTTCTCGAAGACACTTATTTTCCCTATTCGTGGTCACATTAATTATGGGATGCTCATATTTTTTTTCGTTTCTTGAAAATTAAATTTGCCAAATTTGGAATGCACCATCTGGAATTATATTATCTGCGATATAACTCCTTAATACATGTTCATATAAATAATAACCATACAGTAGATGAGTTGAATACGTTCAGGGAAACTCAATTTATTTATTTCAGCAATGAGTGTATTGTCAAGTAAAATCAAATTACTTACCTAAGCATTTTACTGCACTCTTAAATTCTAAATAATTGAATAGTTAGTATAACATTTGAAACAAGATAGTTGACATTTAAGTGAACGGCACTACTGCTAACAAACGTACGATGTACATTTGTTCAACACACTTTACAAGTGTTTAAAAAAAATTTTTAAACACTTAAAGTTCAAGCATCTATAAAGACATTTCTATAAGGATAATATTTATACATTAAGTTGGTATAGAGTAAATTAACATTAAGGACACACCGCAGAACATACGTTTGCCATTATACGTATGTATGATTGCAAGGCACATACTCGTCACTTTGTGCTATTGCATAATCTTAATAGTTAAAATGATATTGTTACAAGCGAAAAAATATTAAATTAGTATACAATACTTTTATATAATAGGTTATAGATATTTACTAATAATCATCTATCTATCTATACACATACATATTACACATAGTATAGGTATAAATAAAAATGGATATCGTTTTTTTCTGCAATCATAATCAAAACTTCTCTAACGTTGCGCTTGAAATTCAACATAGATATTAAGCCGGATCAGGAGAAAGTCAGGATAAATATGAAAATCAAAAAATATACCTCCCGGCCACGGCAAATAAAGATACAATGTTGTTACTAGGTTTGCGAATTAACGGATTGGATTAATAATAGCTAATCGACTGATAGCATAGATTGTATAATATTATAAATATTGTATTAAAAAATATATATATATATATTTCCTTTTGATGTTTGTGTATGCTGCATCTATATTTCCAACCACATAGAACATAAAACATATTATAGATAACATACTCATTTGTTTAAACATGTTTGCGGGTACCAACAATAAATTAATGATAAGCCAGAGTCGAAAAAGATGTAATAAGACTAGTAATAGAAGTTGTTCAACGACAGTGTTTAAAGATTAACGTAGGTAAAGTGGGTCGCGCATGTTTCTGTATTTAAATTACATTGTAAACCATCTGGGGAAATAGTAGTTGGTAAATAATGTTTGTTTTTTTACATAAAACGTACTGTACAAAGGTGTAAAAAACTCAAAAAGTTTATGTTTCAAACTCTATCCTAATATGCGCATTTTTCAAAAGTGCGTAAAATACTTAAATATAATTATTTGTGTAATATAGTGTTATCCTGGAGCAATCTTAATAATACGTTAAATATCAATATCTGTCCTAAAGAAAGAGACAATCTGCCTTTCGTTGAATGTCTTTATTTTATATGGCCATCAGTAACAATTAATATTCGTTTTTTTTTTAGATACTAATGAATAATTATTTGATTTTAAGTAAAATGTGATGTATTAAACGACAGAAACACCTGGATAGGGAGCAAATGAACATTTTTAAATCAAAATACCATATCTTGTTTAATAAGTTTACGTAAATACTATAAATTCGACACATTTCATTAATTGCTCACTGTTATGAATAAACAACATATAAAATACATATTACCTTATGATATGCGTGTTCCAGCGAAACCAGCTAACATCCGCCCAAATCAAGCATTTCAATCCATCTCATTAAGACTCTTAACCGGTGCTCCGTGGTATATCACAAATTCAGCTCTCCATAATGACTTGAAACTTCCAACAGTAAATGAACTTGCTAAAAGCTACTATAAAAAATTCCATTACAAATTAATTAAGCATTCTGACCCCTTTATCAACAACATGTCTTCTCTCACATTACCTCTTAATATTCCCCGACGATTAAAAAGAAATTAGGCTAGAGACCTTCTAAACTAAATCTAAAATTAAAAATAAAATAATTAAAAAAATTGCAATGCCCNAATATTTTTATTAATTGTATTCTAAACTCTAAAAGAAGACCAGTGTAACTCAATACTTAGAGATAAAGGCAAACATACATCTTTGAGATGAAAAAAACAACACATCATTTAGGAATTAGGATACAAGAACGCATTCCACAGTCATTTCATACACCCATTCTCTCACATTAACTCTTAATATTCCTCGGCGGTTAAAAAGAAATTAGGCTAGAGACCTTCTAATCTAAAATTAAAAATAAAATAATTAAAAAAATTGCAATGCCCGAACTCAAATTTTCTGAGATTCTGGCACTGGAAATTCTCTTTTTCATGTTCTACATGTCTTCTTTAATCATTATCATCCTTGTTACTTATTGTTTTCGTGTGTCAACAGATTGTAATATTTTATTAAATAAAAAAAAAAAAATATGTTTGTATTCAAAAAAGTTCAGAAAACAGTAATATTTTTATTAATTGTATTCTAAACTCTAAAAGAAGACCAATGTAACTCAATACTTAGAGATAACATACATCTTTAAGATGAAAAAAGCAACACATAATTTAGGAATTAGGATACAAGAACTCATTCCACAACCATTTCATACGACCAACAAACATAGGAACAAACATACAATGTCCGTAAATATTTAAATAACAGATAAATATTTCAATTTTATAAATGCAATATATCATTGAAAATGCTACTCAATTTAAAATAAACATACGGAGAAAAAATACAAGTACAATGCAATTTTACATTTTAGTTCAAATTTTATTTGACATTGAGATTGGATAGCTTATAGAATTGAAAAATCAAACACAATTTTCGTATGAAATTGACATTGTAACGTACTTAATATAGTAAGTATAAATAATAGTAAGTATATAATAAGTACAATGCAATTTTACATTTTAGTAGTTCCCAATAATGAATATTTATTACTAATAACTAATAAGACGTACTGAATTGGAAAATATTATGGTTTTTCCAGGATGAAGTCTTACATTTATATGCGAGATGTTATTTTACGTACAATTTGTGTCCGAGGCAATGAGAATAAAAATAAAACATTTTAGAACGGATCTGGCTAATTTTCACAAAAAAATATTTTTTGTGATTTTATCTAGATTAATGAAATTTCTAGCTAAAACAAATCCTTTGATAACATATATGTATTTATTTATCTAGGTAAGATAAAATATAAAAAAAAATTAGGTGTCTAAATAAGTTCTAAAACACTGATAATATCATTGAAATAAGTTTCGTCTACTATTTCAATATAATTAATACAATTAATAAAACTGTTTTTCTTTTCTAATTTAATGAAGTTCTTATAGGTAATATTTTATTGACTTTAATTAAAAAAATTATATCTCAGATGTTGCTAATGTAATTGGTAATATGAGCATAATCCTTAATTAATTTTCAACATTATCCCATACGTTCAATTTGATACATTTTATGCATTTTGACCTACACATTATATAATTATTATATTTGTACCTAAATTCACGATATTTTGAGAAACTATTTGCTATCAAAGTTTAATAAAAATATATATATTTTTAATTTCTATAACACCAATAAACTGTATATTAACATAAATGAAACAACTGGGGAATACTGTAAATCACCAAAAACAGGTGAACAAATATGTGAGTTTTTTTTTTTTGGTAGATAAATTGTATAAAGTAATAAAACTCTTGCGCAAAATATATTCATTTGTAGCAAATTAAATCTGCCTCTGCGCTTAAATTTTAACCTGATGTATAACCGTTGGTATTCGTGTTCTAAATCCTTACACAATAATTTGAATAAGTTTTCAAATAAATCACATTAAAATGTTATTGTTTTTATTATATACAATAAGACACTGAAAAATGTTTAATCAATTTCGGATTATAATTGAAAACAATACGTTTTTGATAATAGTATTGATACTTTCAATTTGCTATGTTGGATGAATTTTAATTCTTTTAGAATATATTTTATACTAATTACCTGTAGCAGTTCGAAATTTAGCAAAATTATAAGTATTTAGTATTAGTGCACCTATTTATGTACAACATGAACTATATAATCATTTTTGAATTTGTAATTTAGAACTATCCAACGATGTATGGCACTCTATTTTCTCTATTGTGTAAAATATTATAGAATGCATTTGAATTACACAAAGATTCGGTAAAGCATGATTGAGCATAAAACGATTGAGCATAGACCTTTTTAGCAACACGATTGAGCATAGAATATTTTATGCGATGTTGCCAAAATTTTGTAATTTATTATTTTCACGTATCATTATATCTGACGCGAACCTAACAAAGCATTTACTACTTTTCCCTTTTTAACTAAATTATAATAATTTGTTTGAAGATTGTTGGCGAACCTTCCCTCAGAATAGCATACATGGCAACAATAATCAACTAGGGAAATGGTTGAAAATGTTTTTTGGTTTGATATTTATTTCCCCAGAAGAAGTAGTTGATGCATTTCACGAGTTAATATCAATTTGTCCAAATGATGACGGTTTTGTATTTTCTGATTACATTTTACATAATTATATTGTAGATCACTGCCAGTTTCCGCCAAATATTTGGGCTGAAAATCCTTCGGTAAACCCAAGGTTTTTACATTATTTTTTAAAAATTACTAGGTTAGGTTAGCTTATGTTAACCAATTTTTTATTTCTCGATTTCTTTTCGAATACTAACTCTGTATGTTCTAAACAATTCATAATTTCACTAGGTGCAATTAGAATGTCTTGCAAACAGAATTGAAAATTATTTACAGGGTAATGAGTAATAATGTATACCCAGGTTTTGCTGACACACGATATAATAATATAATTTTCTACACAGGAACATTATTTATTTAATTATTTATTTAATATTTAAATGTATTGCCATAATGTTTAATATATTACTATACATCTATAATTAAAGTAAGTGCGTATGGATCATTTTTATGTAGCTAAGTTATAAACTTATATTATTTATTTATTAATATATCTTATCAATATAACTGAATCAATACAATATTCAGACGGAGTTGAAAATTTATCTGAAAATAAAATAACGGTAAGATTTAATTAAGTTCTTTAAGTATGGATTAAACATTTTATCATAGAAAGTACCAATGAATAATTTAATTACATTATTAAAATATATAGGGTTCCGCTTTACGTTTGAGTTTTGTGGATCATAACTAGACCACCAATGATCAATTGCTACATCGAGTAAACAAAATTTATTGTTTCAAGATTTTATGATTTCGTTATATTTTGTTTCATTCATTAGATATTCTAATAATTTGTATGCACTTTTCAACTATGTCGTTAACAAAATACAACCTATAAATATTAATGTAAGATATAGATAAAGTTGTGGAATGTTGCATCAAATATTGCAATATAATAATTATAATGTAAATAGTGCCACTAAATACCGTTTACCGCAATAAAAATAATCAATTTCAAAACGAGTTTCTAATAATGAAAACTAGGAATCAAACGCAGTCCACATCTCATTTAAAATATTTTTATAAATATTCCATCTATACATAAAATATAAGAATAAATTATATAGTTATGACATTCGACAAAAGTTAAACAATTAACAACTTGTTATAAATATTTGGCAGTTTACACTATTAATTAAACAATAACCTACCTTATACTACTAACGTTCACATTTTTCTAAAGATGAATTATTGAATCTAATACGAAAATGCACAGTTAATTATCGTGATCTTTTTATTTGTGATAATGCAAAAATTTTCCTTACCAAGTCCTAAATCAGACCTTGACTCCATTGTTGGCAAAAAATAAATACATTGTGTCCAAAGTTTTCTTTAAAACAAAATAGTTTCATTGAATTAGATTTATTTCATATTTAGGGAGTTGACTTTAATTGATAATTATAATACCCGTGCATAGTCTTAGATCATATATTATAATAAAATAACAAGTTCAATATCAAATATGATATATACCTTCATGATTGGAATCTAAATACTTTAGTATAAATGCTTGCAGTGGCGCTGAAATGATTTGATTAATTCGAGTATAAGCGTATATTGAACATAATAAATTGTTTATTTAAAACATACATAATATACAGTAACAAATACACAAGAATATAAATAAGCTTTAACAATTTAAGAGTGGAATAATACTTAACTATGGATCCGTGACCTATTGCGTCGTAAGTCTCTCTCTGCAGCATTCGCTAATAGAAGGTAGAATATAAGATTTTATACGCTGCATCACTTACTCATAATAACTAATGTTATAAAAGGGGATGCATGTAACAAAATAACCTCAAGGAATGTGAAAGGCTTGTGGTGCTGGTAATATTATAAC